AGCAGGATTAATAATTTGAAGAATCATTGCCTTTAATTTTCAAAGAAAATAATGTTACCACCTGAGTAATGGTGCAGGATGGAGGTAGAAAGAAAAGAGTGAGCTGGACAAGTGGAGAAGAGAGTTGTGTGAGAAACCTCACCATGTGACGTGCACCTTTTAACTGTCAATAAATCAGGAAATGATTAAAAGGACATTCCAACTCTGTCAATGGAGTCCAGAAATTTCCCAGTGACTCCTCACCTTTTTCAAGCCAGCTGCCCAGGATAAGGTAAAATGAGTTCTAGCTAATGGAATTCATAAATCATTTGTAAGCACCTGGGCACCTTTACACTTTAGCATTCTTCTGTGTGATCCTCAAATGAATGGGCAGGTCAGGCATTTAAAATAGCTCTCAGCCACTGTCCTTTCCTCACTGCCACAAACCCTCAAAGAAAGGCATAGATGGTAAACTAGCAATTCTGCCTTCCAGCCCTACCAGTGATTTCCCCTCAGGTAGCTAGGAGCAGAGATTGGATCTATTCCAATTATGAAAAGAGAGTCAGCAGAAATGGAAAACACAGCTCAGGTGCCCTTCCATTTAGCCCTCAAATATTCATGGAAGAGCTGTGGAAGCTAGCCTTGTGAAGGATCCCAAAATAAATAAAACCCACCTCCTGTCCTCAAAATTACTTGTCAAGGGAGAAGCTAGGAAACTCCCCACTGGTGCCACCGTTGGAGGTGGCTGGGTGCGCGAACCTTTGCACCCAGCCCCTTGGGCTATTTGCAAACCCTTCTAATATGCCCTCTTTCAGCCTAGAGGAAGTGGCAGGGCAAAACCACAAATTATTTCATTTGTCGTGGCTTCCTCTGGTCCTGTCCATCCACTTCTCTCTTCTCCACGATGCTGCTTCCTCTCCTCCCTCCCTGGCCCATCTCAGAAACATCATTATTTGGTTCATATCTTTCTCACTCCCTCAGGAAAAAGTCTGAAATCTGTTACTGAACAAGAACTGGTGTGGGTTTTCTCTTGTGATCAGAACACAGCAAGGCTTCTTGAACAACCGACAGTCACTAAAGTAAGGAGGTTGATTTTCTTGTATGACTTATGGAAAGCTGTTGCAGGGACGACACCGCCCCGACCTTAACAAAAACTTAAGCCCCAGTGACACTTGCACTTAAGGTGTTGCAGTTTAAGCTATTTCAAGCATTATAAACTGATGTGTGTGGCAGTAATTTGAGGACAAACCGTGCTTTCTGAGACCTCTCTGAAATCACTCCACTCAATGCCAACACAGCATTCTTCAATCTCTCAACCTGTACTGTCCAATATGGTACCTGGTAGCCACATGTGACTGTTTAAATTTGAATTAATCAAAATTAAATGAACTGAGTACAGTGGCTCACGCCTGTAATCCCAGCACTTTGGGAGGCCAGGTAGGTGGATGGCTTGAGCCTCGGCAACATGGTGAAACCCACCTCTACAAAAATACAAAAAATTGGCTGGACATAGTGGCTTGCACCTGTTTGTCCCAGCTATTCTGGAGGCTGAGGAGGGAGGATCGCTTCAGCCCAGGAGGCAGAGGCTGCAATGAGCTGAGATCGCATCACTACACTCCAACCTGGGCAACAGAATAAGATCCTGTCTCCAAAAAAATAAGAAGAATAATAAAATAAAATAATTTAAAATTTAGAGTCTCAAAGAATAGGATCATATTTCAAGGGCTCAGTGATCACACCTAACTGGTGGCCACCATATTGAACACAGAATGGTTATTTCCATCTTTAGAAAGATGGAAAGGTCTCCTGGACAGTGTTGCTCTGAACCACTATTCAAGCCATAGCTGAGGATCACTTTTAGATGGGAAGGTCATACGACAGCAATTTAACCATTTGTGTAAAAAATCAGCCACCATAAAAAAATTAAAGCTATAGTTAGTTGTGCAAAACAAATTTTTTTTTTGAGACAGAGTCTTGCCCTGTCACCTAGGCTGGAGAGCAATGGTGTGACCGTAGCTCACTGCAACCTCCACCTCCCAGGTTCAAGAGATTCTCCGGCCTCAGCCACCTCAGTAGCTGGGATTACAGGCATGTGCCACCATGCCCAGTTAATTTTTTGTATCTTTAGTAGAGATGGGGTTTCACCATATTGGCCAAGCTGGTCTCGAACTCCTGATCTCATGATCCACTATGCTTGGCCGTGCAAAACAATTTATTCTCCTACAATATAATATGACTGGAGACAACAGTTTTTATCATATACCAAAGAAAGAACACAACAAAGACTTCCTAGATACATGGCTGGGAGCAGTGGCTCACGTCTGTAACTCCAGCACTTTGGGAGGCTGAGGTGGGTAGATCACCTGAGATCAGGAGTTGGAGATCAGCCTGGCCAACATGGTGAAACCTCATCTCTACTAAAAATACAAAAATTAGTTGGGCATGGTGGCAGGTGCCTGTAATCTTAGCTTCTCAGGAGGCTGAGGTAGAAGAATTGCTTGCATTCAGGAGATAGAGTTTGCAGTGAGCCGAGATCAAGCCACGGCACTCCAACCTGGGTGACAGAGCAAGACTCCATCTCAAAAAAAAAAAAAAAAAAGTCCTAGATACAGTAAGGACAGAACTGAAGTGAGATAGGAAAAACAAACCAATATCTTTTAAACAGGCATAGTCTTCGGAGATCTGTGGTAAAGAGGCACCTCATAACGATAATAATTCTCAAAAAATACTCTAAAATTCACATTAATATTTTAATCTTCATATTGCTCCTTTAGTATCTAATGAAAACACACACCAAATAATTTGATACACCATTACACAACACACAAAGCAATCTCCAGCCAATCAGAAATGGGACAAAGTACAGAAACCAGGAGCAAAGGGAATGGCACTAACTACAAAGAGGGCCATGGGATGGCTACTCATGAGGCCCCTCCTGGTGTTCCAGCAGCTAGAGAAACTTGTTTTTGCCCCTTAACAGGACCTGGAGGTATAGTTTGGCTGTGTCCCCACCCAAATCTTATCTTGAATTCCCATCTGTTGTGGGAGGCGCCTGGTGGGAGGTCATTGAATTGTGGGGGCAGGTGTTTCCTGAGCTCTCCTGGTGATAGCGAATAAGTCTCACAAGATTTGATGGTAATAGAAGGGGGTGTTTCCCTGCACAAGCTCTCCCTGCTGCTGCCATCCATGTAAGACATGACTTGCCTCCTTGCCTTCCACCATAATTGTGAGATCTCCCGAGCCACGTGGAACTGTAAGTCCATTAAACCTCCTTCTTTTGTAAATTGCCCAGTCTCAGGTATGTCTTTATCAGCAGTATGAAAACAGACTAATACACCTGGCTGGTGCTTTCCTTTTTTTTTTTTTTTTTTTTGGCAGGGTCTGGTTCTGTCACCCCGGCTGGAGTGCAGTGGCATGATGATCTCAGCTCACTGAAGCCTGGACTTCCCAGGCTCCAGCAATCCTCCCACCTCAGCCTCCCAAGTAGCTGGGACTACAGGCATGTGCCACCACACCCAGCTAACATTTTTTTTTAGTAAAGAAGTGGTCTTAATATGTTGCCCAAGGTGTTCTTGAACTCCTGGGATTAAGTGATCCTCTTGCCTCAGCCTCCCAAAGCACTAGGATTACAGGCATGAGCCAATGCACCCAGCAGTGTTCTCTTTCTTCATGGCAGCAGAAGCATTGACTTTTCCAGACCTGGCTCTCTCTTGGCCCGTTTCTGTGGGCCTTGTCTGCGGCGTGCAGTGGCTTCACCAGTGTGGGAAAGTAGAGTGGTGAAGGTGACACAGCCGGACAGAGCTGTGAACGGCATGCTGGTGAAATTTTAAGAATGGCCAGTTGGTGTCTGAACTTCAAGGAAGAAACAGATTCCCATCCTCAAGACCCTTCACACCAACCTCCCTGTCACTTAATAGAATGACAAAATACAGAAAAGCATAAAGCAGGACACAGAGCTTGAGGTCTGCAGGTCTTCCCTGCCTCCTTCCACCTGCACACAATCCCATCTTCACCTGATTCTGAAAAGCAAATTCCCCATCCCCAGGATGGCTTAATGAGAGGGCAGCTTACCACACAGACTCACAGTGTCAGCTTCTGTCTTACGAATATGAGCCAACGTACATCCCAGAGATCCCTGTTCCGCACCCCCTGCATTCCCGCATCGCGCCGGCTCTCCTGGTGGCCTGAGCCCTGAAGAGCAGCCATTCAAAAATTGTATCAATCAGATGACACAAACTTAGCGGTGCCCACCATGGATCTGAGTGCCTTGCTTTCATGGAGTTTCCAGATGGAAGCTCTCTCCTCTTTTGAAATGCAAATAGCTGAGACTGAGAGTGACACAGAGTCACTGAGAGTCCAAGCCACTGACAACTAAAGCCTGTGAACCACTGGGGAATGGAGAATGGAGAGGGAGTGGGTGGGGCTGGAGGAGCATGCAGAGGGCCCAACTTGAGTGTGAATGTCCAGCCGTATTAGGAAAATGGAGAGAAGGAAGGACCTCGAAGTTCCAGCCTTCATTTCACCATCAGGAAGCTTTGGAGATTAACTAGAAGCAACTTTTCCTTCCTTTCTCTAATTTCTAGTTTTGCTCATTTTTTCCCCTAAATAATTAGGCATGTTTCTACCAAAAGAGTAACATTTAGAACATCCTTTAATTCTCTGAAATTTACATTAAAAAAAATTTTGTAGAAACGTGTCTTCCTATGTTGCTCAGGCTGGTTGCAAACTCTTGTCCTTGACAGGAACAGTAGGTCCCACCTGTATTCACAGAGTTTTTGGAGACCAAGGTGGGAGGATCACTTTAGTCCGAGAGTTCAAGACCAGCCTGGGCAAAATAGTGAGATCCTGTCTCTACAAATTCTTTTTTTTGATGGAGTCTCTGTAGCTCAGGCTGGAGTGCAGTGGCGCAATCTCGGCTCACTGCAATCTCTACCTCCTGGATTCAAGCGATTCCCCTGCCTCGGCTTCCTGAATAGCTGTGACTACAGGTGCGCACCACCACGCCCAGCTAATTTTTTGCATTTTAGTAGAGACAGGGTTTTACCATGTTGGCCAGCATGGTCTTCATCTCCCGACCTTGTAATTTGCCCGCCTTGACCTTTCAAAGTGCTGGGATTACAGACATGAAACACTGCACCCAGCCAAAATTTTTTAATTAGCTGGGTATGTGTTCTGGTCCCAGCTACTGAAGAGACTGAGTCACGAGGATCATTTGTACCTAGGAGGATGGTCAAGACTGCAGTGCGCCATGATCACACTACTGTACTCCAGCCTGGGTAACAAAGCAAGACCCTGTCTCAAAAAAAAAAAAAAAAGAAGAAGAAGAAATCCTAGCTTTAAGTGATCCTCTCCCTTCAGCCTCCCAAAACACTGGGAATACAGATGTGAGCCACCATAGCTGACCTGATATTCACATGTTAATACACAATCCTGAAACAATAAATCTTCCTCTTTCTCATACTCCCCTCTTGAATATAAGCAGTGCATCCTCGGTGACACTGGTGTTCTCATGCTCTTGAGGAGAAGCATCAGGGCAAAGTCAGAAGGCTGGGAGTGAACAGCCAAGCACTCTCTTGTCTTCCAGGCTGGATGGGAACACTACACTGGTAGAGATAAACAGGGCTGAACATGTTTAAATCTTCTAAGGAAAAGTAGGAATGCTCAGCTACCGAGCTGCCCTGTGACCCCCCCAGGATGACAGTTTTAATTGCACTCGGCGGATGAGCTAATTACGGTCAGGGAAAGTTAACACTGAGGTTGCAATGAACGACACATTTTTTTCTGGGAAATGCAGCACACAGGTGACATCCTTATGCAATTCAAGTGCTTCTTCAAAGGTTTGGAAAGATATTTAAACCAAAAGAGTTCAAGATAAAGGGGAGGGAAGAAAGACTATCTGTGTGGAACTGTGAGGGTTGAGTGGTGAGCAGGAAGTGGAGTTCAAAAGAGGTAGAATAATGGCTCGCAAAAGGCAGCAAAAGTAGGAAAGAGCAATTAATTGGATCAGTCTGTTAAGGCCCAAAACAGTCTGATAGAAAGACGACGTAATATCCTGATCCCTGAGTCAGGATCCCGAATCTTCCATATGACTAATAATTAAAGCCAGCTCTTGGGAAATGCATTCTTTAATTTGTATATTTGAGAGGGGGACTGCAGTTAGCCCTTTGACCTTACTCCAGATTTTCCTTTGGAAGGTAAATTCCTTAAGATCCTCAGAAAAAAAAAAATGTTTGGAAGCATTCAATTTAACCATGACGAATTTGGGGTCCTAATGAAAGAACCAGGAAATAACTTTCACTTCCAAACGTTCAACCACATCTCACACAATCCTCAAAGTTTGCTTTTAACACTCAACCGCTCGCTCCCGCTGTTCTCCATTCAGGGAGTTTTACTAAGGATATTGTGTTGTTCTATTTATTTCTCCATGTTGTTACCCAACTTCTTTTATTTTTTTTTGAGACAGAGTCTTGCTGCTCGGTTGCCCAGGCTGGAGTGCAATGGTGCAATCTCGGCTCATTCCAACCTCCGCCTCCTGGGTTCAAGCGATTCTCCTGCCTCAGCCTCCCCAGAGTTGGGACTACAGGCTTGCATCACCACGCCCAGCTAATTTTTTGTATTTTTAGTAGAGACGGGATTTTGCCACCTTAGCCAGGCTGGTCTTGAACACCTGACCTCAGGTAATCCGCCCACCTCAGCCTCCCAAAGTGCTGGGTTGCAGGCATGAGCCATCACGCTGAGCCGTTACCCAATTTTTATACCCACAGACACACGCGCACACTCTCTCTCTCTCTCTCTCTCTCTCTCTCTCTCTCTCTCCACCAGGAGTTTTGGCAGAAGCAAACAGCTAGTAACACTAGAGTGAGCAGAGCTGGAAAATAGGCCAGTTATTTAGGATCTCAGAATAGAAAACAGAGACATACATTCAGCCCATTGCCCCCCGCGACAGCTATCACTCCAGGAGAACCCCAGGTTACCACCTGGTCTTTGTCAAAATAGTTAGACAAAGCCAGGCACGGTGGCTCATGCCTGCAATCCCAGCACTTTGGGAGGCCGAGGTGGGAGGGAGGATGATTTAAACCCAGAAGTTCAAGACCAGCCTGGGGACCAGAGACCCCACTTTCTACCAAAAAAATTTAAAAATTAGCTAGGTGTGGTGGCACGTGCCTGTGCTCCTAGCAACTTGGGAGGCTGAGGCAGGAAAATCGTTTGAGCCCAGTAGGTCAAGGCTGCAGTGAGCCATGATCACACCATTGTACTCCAGCCTGGGTGATAGAGTAAAACCCTGTCTCAAGAAAAAATATATAGACAAGCATGGGCAACATAGTGAGATCACACTTCTAAAAATAATAATAATAAAATTGTTACTAGCCCAGCCATATTGAATGTTGAAGATTGCTTGATTTTTTTTTTTTTTTCTTGCCGGTTTTAAATTAGATAATAGATCCATCTTCACCTCTGGGAAGATGAGTTATTCAAGTTTTGGGACTGAGAATAAAATGAGTGAGAAATAGCCATTGAAAGTTCACAGTATGGGCAGTTGAGAAATGAAAAGATTATAAAAGGTGTTTTTTCCTTTTTTGAAGGAGGACTTTAGTCTCTGCTTCCAGAAATAGTCACCAGTCCTTCTCCCCGCTCAATAGGAAGAAAGGAAACGTAAAATGGCCCTGATGTTAGGAAGAAACAGCAGAAGGCGTGTTGTGTTGTTGATGGGTTAAGGCAAATGCAGCAGCGGAAAGGCAACAGCTGAATGCATCTCCAGCGACAGTAACTGAGGACAGCGGAGAGCAAGGCACCTGGCAGACGCCAGCACCAAAGCCCTGAAGAGCCCCGAGAGCAGAAGAAAGCGTCAGGTCACTGCTCACACCCATCCCAATCACCATTACCATGCATGGGGGTCGGAGGCCAGGCCTTACACTCCAGAGACTAATTCAGTAGTTTTGGGTGGGGTCAAAGAATTTGAGTGTCTAACAAACTCCCAGATAGGGCCAATGCCGCTGGTACTGTGGGTAGGTACATTTCACCTTCCTCTGAGAGCCCCTGGCTAATATTCACATTGGACTTCTATGGGGAGCTCAGGCTCCATTCTCCTTCACCAGTGGTACGATGGCATCATCTGTCAGGACTCTTAGTGGAAGATGGTGCTGACCCCCTTGCAGGTGAGGACAGTCTGACTGTCCCATGGGGCCTGTGTTCTCAGGAGTCAGGAGAAGAGACTCATTTGCTGAGTGTTGGCTCTCTGTGACAGAATCATCTCTGCCGAGGGTCACATTAGGAAAATTTGGGGACATGGTTTATATATACGTACAGCTTTTGGACCCTTCTCTAAATTAAGAAAAATGCTTGTTATTCTGTTATTCCACTTTTTCATGTTCTCATTTTGTAAGACACAACTCCAGACAGCCCTTGTATTAGTCTGTTATCACACTGCTAATAAAGACATACCCAAGACTGGATGGTTTATAAAGGAAAGAGGTTTAATGGACTCACAGTACCACATGGCTGGGGAGACCTCACAATCATGGTGGAAGGCAAGGAGGAAAAGGTCACTGGGGAGACCTCACAATCATGGTGGAAGGCAAGGAGGAAAAGGTCACGTCTTACGTAGATGACAGCAGGCAAAGAGAGAGAGCTTATGCGGGGAAACTCCTCCTTATAAAACCATCAGATTGCCTGAGACTTATTTATTATCGAGAACAGCGCAGGAAAGACCCACCACCATGATTCAGTGACTTGCCACTGGGTCCTTCCCGGGACATGTGGAAATTGTGGGAGCTACAATTCAAGATGAGATTTGGTGGGGACACAGCCAAACAGTATCACTCCTGCGTATTATCCCAAGACTGTTTTCCTCCTCTTCTTCACAAGCAGTGGTTGATCTCCAGGCCTATTAAAAGTCCTTAGAGACTTTTGAACACCTGTTCAGAGAACTGAGAATCACACTAGTCTGGAAGGAAAACTGAGACTGTCAGACACATTGGCTTTGTTTGGTGTTGAACTGGATTTAGTGGTGATAGGATCAGGTGCTCCCAAAGGGAAATTGCAAGTATATATGCAATGCTTTTAACTGAAAAACTCAGTGACTCTCAGGTAGATCTATTGTGTTTAGTCACCTAAAAATTGTGTCCCCAGGTGATCTGAGCAAGGCAACCTCTTTAGCCATTAGTTGAAAAGCCTCACTTCCACTGCAAAACCATTTCAGCACTTGTTCATTAAATTCGAAACATCAAAGATGAGTTCGAAATCTGGAAAACATTTGTGAAAAATTTAAATGGGGTGTCACTTTGGCAGTGTAAGTGGCATGAACTGTTTGATTTTCAACTATTTACAGATGTAGCTGACTCTGGAATTAACACGTATATTTTCCAGGAGAAGTTCTGTATGCAACGTTTTGACCAAATTTGCCTGCAAGAGGAAAATTAGTTTAAGTCTATAGAGTGTGGAACCATTCCCCTATGCGTTGTACGTTTGTCTCTTCGGGTGCATATGAGAAAAGAGAAACTTTTTTTTTCTGTAAATGTGTATTGTATTATAGCTCTTGATATCAGAATTTTTGCATGAGAAGATTTAATAACTTAATGTTCTTTCCTCATTTTTGTTTGGAATTTTGAGTTCCAAATTTAACAAATCCTTTCTTTCCTGGTTCAGATTTATGTTTGGGAACTTTCTTTAAATAACTGTGTGGAAACTGGTCACATAAGACAATGTGAACTGAGAACATATTTGGCCCTGTGCAAGCCTAGAAATTTTCTCAAATATTGTTTTGCTGCCTCGGATTCCAGTAAATGAATCTTTCTGTGACTCAGAGCTTCAACCCTTGGGAAAAGAAGGGAGAAAGTTCAGGGGTTTGCCTGGAATATTTTGAAATCTTGAGCATTTTCTGTAGTTCACATTTTAGTTATTATTTATGTCACTCTTTACTCCTGAAATGATTTGATGTGACTTACAAAAGTACATACAATACTTTAAAAAGCAAGCCAAAAAATGGAGGAAAAGAAAAAATAATTGCCATGTATCTATTTCACTACAGGTTGGCTGCATTTTGAGACCTGAATTTTCTTACATCCAACCCAGAAAATAAAACACTCTTTTTGA